CATATGCACAGTCAAGTTCATGCACCAAGCTCATAAAGAACTGTCACGAGCGAGCGAGAGCTTGTCACGATGCCACCTGTTGCCGCTGATGTTTGCCCATTCAGAAGACAGTCCACGAAACCGCCAAGCAGGACGCAGCCAGCCGGGCCATCAATGCTGGCGCAAACGTTCTGCTCACCCCTCGGAAGGTTACACCCGCCAGGTGCGACAGGCGGGTGCGTCCTAGGTCCATTGCTCTGCTGGTGGTCAGCATCACCGACTGGTGCGAGCATGGTCAGCAGCTTGCAGGGGCACAGAGGCGTGAAATTTCTGCTTGTCCTGAGGTGCACTCCTCACCTCCGCTGTCGTCATGGCGTGACCCAGCTACACGCGAAGCTGACGACATGGGACCTCTCTCGTGAAGGAAATGAATCACGAGGTACACGGTTTGGCTGATTTGCGAGTCGCTGGCAGTTCTGCCGCCTGGCTGATGTCCCGATGTCCCCGCGCGCGCAGTATCTAGGTGTCCTCGTGTGTGTGTGTGTGAACTCTTCTGCATTAGCTACTTTGCTGTTTATTCAAGAATGGGGGTCAGGAATCCGTGGATGTTTGTGCTGGCCAAGGGTGCAAGCGTATCTACTTGATGCGCACCTGCATGCCTCGGTCGTAGCGGGTGACGTCATTTCCGTTGTCTGTGTCTGGCACAAGTTAAACGCTCCACAAAGCTGCATTCGCGGGGGGGGGGGGGGGGGCGGGGGCAATGAGCTCAATGCTGGGGCCATCACCCAGGCCGAATGGCGCGCCACTTCAACTTCCATCTTGGGTTCAATACTCAGACAGTCTCAGAGAGCAGGCGATTCTTTCTTGGATTTCGATGAGCTCTGAGCGACGTTACAGTCTCATCCAATGTGTTCAGAAGTTGCATGCCACGAGAAAGTATCATGGCTTTTTGGCTGCTAGTTGGTGTGTACTGACTTGGATGCTGGCTGCATTTGGGGCTGGCAAAGAGCGGGGTGAGATTGAAAAGACCTGGGCATGAGCAGCCACGTATGTTGATTGAGGCTGGCCTCGCTCTGTGCTTCTTCTCGCTACTCTCGACTGTGGTCGGTATGGGTGGCTGGGGTGCGCAGGAGGGCTGAGCTTTCCAGAATGCAGCAGTATGCAGTCAGCAAAGCGCGTGTCTCAGATGCGTGGATGCCTTGCTCTGTGAAGGACTCAGCCCCGCGAGCTCCGACCTTGATTGGGGCAGGTTTCCAGTGTGGAACAGTCAAGGGCAGGGTCTCTGGTCGTCTAAGGCGGATGCCCAGCCTCAGGGCCTGATTGAGGCGGAGGCAGCTGAGGCTGGGGCAGCTACAGTACGCTCAAGCCATGAGGGTGGAAGATAGCAAGGGCGTGAGACCGCCTTTTGGCAAAAGACCATGGTGGCAGCATGATTTGGGAGTCTGTCAAGCTAGGATTCTATTCCGGGACACAAGATGGGGTAGGCAAAGGGCCCGTGGTTTTGAGAGCGGTTTAATGCTCCAATCTGTGTGAAATGAGCACTCAGCCTGCAGGGATCTGCACGCGCGGAAGAGGCTCGTCCTTTAACGCTTTCTGTAGCTTTGCTTTTGCTGCAGCGCGGCACAGCACGTCCAGGCTGAATCGCCAAGGATGACCTCGTCAGAGGCATTCAGTGCTTCCAATTACTTGCACTACTTGCAATGTCATTTGGCTGTGGGTCAAGATCATTGGTACCATGTTGGGGTAGGTGCACCACCCATTTTGGTCTGGTTTAGTGGGGATTGGGATGTTCACTGGCGGTACAGGATTTTGACTCATGGTCATTTCATCAAACTTCAATGGCAATCTCGTGGAAGGCGCGGCAGTTTGCCGCGCAATGTGCCATCCATGCCGCAGCTGCTCTCTACATAGCATCCTCGCTTGCAGCCAGGACTGCAGATGTTTGGTGAGACGTTTGCCTTGCCATGAATTTGATGCAATGTTTTCTTGGCCAAGGGAGGGTAGCGATACCAACAAGCAAACATGACCTTTGAGGACAGGCCCCACGACCTATGCGCTGCGAGTGCGACTCCCATAGAGCTTGCAAAATGAGAACATTCCAGATTTGTGAGGCTGTTCTTGTCCTGGTCTAGTCACAAGATACAAAGGGCCTTTAAGATACACAGGGCCTTGAAGGATATGACACCGGATTGGCGCCTGAAGGCTAATGCATAGATGCAGGTCACGGCCATCTTCCTGTCGTTGGGTCTCTACGGTTGGTCACTGGTGGCCCCGAAGGCGGCTCGGCCGCGACGTTTTTCACCTCTCCAGGATTCGTCATCTGCCCCATGCTTCACTTCAGGTCCTCACCAACAGGCGATTCTGAGTGCCCAAGCTGGAGACTGAGTGAATCGCCAGGCAAGCATGTGCGAAAAAAAGGAGAGATTTGGAGATTGGACACCAAAGACGGGAAGGACGGCTATTCCATGTGCAACAACCTCCGAGCCAATACAGTAAACAAGCCACTTTAGTAAGTGGCAGGTTTTTGAAGCCGCTTTGCTTGCCTGGGCATCATCTTGCAAGAAGTCTTGGCGTTGATTTGGGCAACAATAATTTATCAGAAGGCCCTGCTTCGTGTCGCGCGCACGGGTCCAGTGCGATGGAGAAGGCTTCATCAGAAGCATGCTGCCATTCCCACAGGGAATGAGCTGAAGCTGAAACAGGGCCCAGCTGTGCAGATGAGAGAGCATGCTGTATTTGTCTGGACCGCATTGTGTACAGAGTGCGCGTTTGGAGTGGCTCACAAGTGCAAGGGGCTTGGCTGCATTCAAGATCTGACGGTTGATAGCTTGGAGCCACCAGCCCCGGCGTAGAGCTCTGGTGGATTCAACACTTTCTGTGCTGCTTGGGCAAAAACAGCTTCGGGAGCGTGACGATGAAAGGGCTGAGCGAGCGGGAACTGAATTTACCTTGCTCGCTGCATGGCATCGTGCTTGGACACTGGTGCAAAGCCTCCTTGGCAAGAGAGAGAGAGAGAGAGAGGGAGAGAGACACCGAAACTTCAAGCTGCAGGCCAAATGCAGTTTCTGGCAGCCTGGTGCTGATCTCAGGTTGCGCGACCATGGCTCAGACTTTCTCTGCACTTTGAGACGGGGCAGTTTAGGTGCTTGTTGGTTACAGCTGCCATTGCAGCAAAGACACACTCAGCTCAGCCGCAGGCACTAGTGACTGAGTCTTGCAATATTAATGTGCTTGAGCGGCATGCACAAAGCGTTCAGGCAACCTTGGTGCAGAGCCATGTAAAGCCCAAGGTGCCTGGGTTGTGGTGTTGCTGTGCAGATGGCTGATGCTTGCAGGAACTGTCTGAGGAGGAGGTTGTGGAGGCCAGCGTATTATTGGCACTGTTTCTGCACTGTGCTTGATGCAGGGCGCGCTCGGCGGGAACACGTCGATCGAGCAGCTCCTCAATGAAACTGGATCGAAAGCCCAGGAGAAGGAGCCCAAGGAGCCCAAGGAGCCCAAAGAGCCCAAGGAGCCCAAGGAGCCCAAGGAAAAGTCCAAGGAGAAGTCTAAGGAGTCCAAGAAAGAGAGTCCTAGCCCCGTGCTCGAACCTGCCCCATTCGCGCCGGGTCCAGCCATGCCCATGGCCCCCATGCCCGCCCCGGCTGCCGCGCCCATGGCCGCGCCGGCGCCGGCGCCGGAGCCGCTCACCACGACCTCATCGCCGGAGATCAGCTGGTGGCCGGTCTGGCTGCCAAGCTTCAGCAGCTCGGTCTCAATGGCGGCGGAGAGGTCTCCATGAGATTGCAACGTCTCATGTTGCGTGTTATACGTGTTATATTGCAGGGTTCTTCAGAATTTCGTCACGTTGTGTGATACTGCATCACATGTCAGATTGCTCATACTGCATTGTTTATCACTATTATTTCATCCACGCTTTATAACATTTCCGTCACATCTCGTGTGCCACTGGCACGGCGCCTTCACTGGAACTTGGCTCCAAACGCACGAGCCATGTGCCTTGTCATTCGAACCTCGCCCGACTGCAGGCAGTATCTGGGATTTCTTCTTCGGCGCACCGGAGGAGCATACTCCAGCCACACTGGCTCAGATCGACGGCTTGGACAAGGCGGTGTTTGCTCCAGCTCCGGTGCAAAAGCCCAAGAAAGATCAAACCTTTGCTCCGGCTCCGCCTTTGGATGCTTCCTTCTTGGACAAGTGGCCAGCTTAGCTTTGCGTTGCCGAAAAGCATGCAATTCCAAGCTGGATTCCATGCCAAGCTGGAGGTCTGTCGTGGGCAAGGCGCGGCGCTTCGGGCCTTTGACCTGGGTGGGAAACATGGCATGCGTCACAGTTCTTTCACAAGAAAAGATGCAGGATCATGAGGGGGAGCTGAGCTGGTGGTGGTGGTGGTGGCCTTTTCCATCTGTTGAGCAACCCACACAGAAGGAGCTGATGCTCAATGTGCCATCACATGAAAGGGGACAGAATCGTGGTTCATGCCCACTCAAGTGAAACTGGCAAGCAATCGGCTTGCAAGCGGCTGAGCTTTCCATGCTCCACTGCCTCAGGATGCGACTTTAGAGGAGCTACGTGTGGGGGCGCTCGCTGGGGGAATCCAGATGAAATGTTGGTAGCTTAGCAATTCGGTGTTTGCAGCATTCAATTCACGTTTTGCTGCCTGGCAACCTTTTTGCCCGCCTTTGTTCTATGGAAAGTGTGTAACTGCCTTGTGCAGATCTGCGAGTTTGATGGGCAAAAGCCAAATACAGCCAACAGTCATCGTGTCTGGATCTGAGAATCGGCGGAGTATGTCATTGGATAAATGCCAGAGCCCAAGCCGAGCGTTGCCAGTGCCACGCAGCTGGCATCATATGACTGGAGGTGAAAGCTGAGTGCACAATGTACAGAAACAGTGTACACAAATCCCAGTCTCACTGAGCTGCAATCAGAAGGGTGAGATGATGCGAGTTTGGCCCCAGGCAGCCCATGGTCATGGCTTTGCCACGCGTGTCCAACAGAAGCCTGGCCGCTTACACCAGGAGAAGGCGACCTTTTCCATTGAGCTGGTTGAAGCCAGGCACTCAATGGGCGGCATTGCAGACAGGTTGCGGGCTCTCGAGGTTTGAGAGGGACGATACAACTTGGAATGCCAAAGCCTTGGGCTGCCCATACAGCAATCTATGTGCTTGCCACGTAATATGAAACAACATATATCATATGATGACATATAGCTACCCATACATATTAATATATATATATATGCATATATGTTTTGTTCTGATTTGCTTTGTTTGGTTTGGTTTGGATTGGTTGCTTGCTCGCTTGCTTGCTTGCTTGCGTGCTTGCTTGCTTGCTTGCTCTCTGCGCGGCGGGAATTTGCATACAGGGAATATCAGGTAGACACATGCATGGACTTAGTGTCCACCTCAGTTGATGCTGTTGACACAGAGAGCTGCATTAGGCCAAATGTAGATGCCCTGGCCCACCAATTACATTTTGTGCCTGTCAATATTGAACAGTTGGCAAGCTCTGCGCAGAAGCTCTTCCTGGAAGCTGTTTAGTGCTTTCTCTCCCTTCAGCCTGACATGTTGATGCTTGTTGCAATAGTTTGGCTTCTTCTTTCAATAGACGTTCTTGAAGACAAAGCCCTTAATTCCAACATCGCACAATAGATACGTTTTGACGCCTTGATGTTTGGGGCAAGCAGGTCCAGGTTGAGATCTCCCGCACAGAAGTAAATAGGAAACACAGCAATTGCACACACAAACAACTTACGTGCACCTCAGAGTTGCGTGGCAATGCAGCATGCATGGAGCGACTCGCGCCTCTTCAATACACGCAGGACTGCACATGAAGGAATTGGCCTCACCCACGACAACATGCCATGCTGAGACCACTCTGAATGACCAGTTTGCATGCGGAATACAGCTTGAAGAAGGCAAGCTTTTACAATGGTCAGGAGCCCAATAGGTGATCACATTGGCGGTGCTGCGTGGTAGTCTCAGCAATACCAGTGTGCATGCAGCAACTATCCTGCGTGCCATTGTCAGGCCTGGATACGCAGGCCATGTCCCCTGCGCTCGACTTGAGGCGCGCACTTTGGCTGTGGTCCCTTTTGCTATATGTCGCACCGGGCAGGGAGAGGCAGTCGCGTCCACCTTTGGACGCAAAGTGCTTAGCTTCAAGGGCGTTGGCGGGTGAACTGGAGAGCCATAGTGGCGATTAAGACTCGTGCTTGAATGTGGTGGCTTCTATCGCATGCGCTTTGAGGCTCGCTGAGAATTTCACAAGGAGTGCGCAGCCAAAGCACCTGCGACGTGCAGGCAGCATGCAAGGAGTCCCTGGAATTATGAACGCAAAGACCTTGCAGGCAATGCGCCTTCAACGCGAGGAACAGGACAGACGAACCAGGAGCCGACAGAAGCTACACCCTACATACTGCAAGATGGTGTCATGGGTTGGCGCTTTAGGACACTGGTGCCGCGATCCCTAGCTCCCGAGTGCGCCGGCAACCACCAGAAGCTTCATAAGTATTGCAAGTTACTGCAGTTCTGGCACAGAGGTGGCAAATCGATGCAGGTACGACAAAAGAGGGATTGGATACCAGCCAGCTGGAGACACCCAGCAGTCAAGAATTCCTGACTCCAACGAGGACTATGGTTTGCAATGCTTTATCGAAAGCAGAGACAGCAGTATGCCAATTGTGTGCGTGGATGGGTTGTGAGGCATCCGCAAAAGTTCGAATTTTTCAGGACAAGCGACATTACCATTCTGACATGGGCTTGACGTCGGCTTGGCATACTTCAGCATTCACCGTACGTTGCCTCCTTGAATGCGGCGCAAAGCCATCCCACTTGTCTGCTGGATGGTCTGAGTTGTACAAGTGACATCCTAGATCAGGCACACCAAGAGTAAAGGATGCATCTCTGCGCAGAGAGCAGAACAGCCACTTGAGCTGGCCATGATTTTCGAAGCTGCAAAAGCTGCGCCACATGGTGGCGGCCAAGCATCTGGGTTCCGCATGCGCCAGGTCTTTGGCCCATGAGAACCTTGGCGGTGCTTCGTGACACTGCCACTCTTTGATCGAGACGTTCTCACTTGGGCTTCCGCTCTCTGAGTCTCCTGATCTTCGGATCGGGACCTGACAGGAAGCTGCGGGGCCGCGGGGCTGCCGCCCGTGGCGTTTCCGGGTATATGGGATTCGTGCCTGGGAAGGCAGGCAACTGGAAACCAGCAAGCATTCGAAGGCATTTGAAGCATTCGTCTGGGAAAACTCTTGCTGTGTGCGTGTGTTTTTTGGGTTCAAGAAAGTGAAGTGCCCGATGTCCATTGTTTCGCTGCACGTGTGAGGCCTCAGAAAACACCTTCGCAGAGACTTGGTCCAAGACCCAGGACCGAAGGTTTGGTGAGGCCACTGGGCTTGGGTCTAGTGCCTTCTAGGAGAGATCACTGGCTTCCCACCTGGAAGCACGGGCAGCAGCACCAAAGCAGTTCACCTTGCTGACCCAGGCGCTTTCCTGTGGCATGTAGCACTTGTGAAGAGCAGCTGCCCAATGGCCCATTGGGCAGGGCCGCACATCTGTTGGACCAGTGCGATCAGACACCATTGCAGAGGCTGGGCAAGTTGCCGTCATGCTATGAGTGGCTTTCCCAAGTCTGACGCTGATTTTATGCGCCCTGCCAGATGCCTATTTGGAATCCATCCTACCAAGACCAAGCTCGCGGATGGTCGCGTTCTTACGAGCATGCCTTTTCCAGTGCGCTGTGGGAGCAATTGCAAGTGTGCAACGAGCGAAAGATGCAGGTCACTCTACTTATGTTTTTAAGATTTGGCCGTTTTGCCGAAAGAAGCAGTGAAATACATGCAGGTTCCGGACGCCGTTTTTGTGTGAGAAGCAAGTTGGTTCCGTCGCTGAGGTCCGACTGTGAAGTCACGGGCAAACACGTTTTGCCAGCCGGCAGTAATGCACCAGTGGGTCAGCATGAGGCGCCTGTCGCCTTTTGAATGCTGAAGCTGTTGGCCGAAGCTTTCATCAGGCCTTCAATATGAAGGTGCCGCCGCTCGAGCATGTGCTGCGTCATGGAGTGGCGCCAATTCTAGGGTACAAGGCTGGCAAGCTAGGAGGCAATGGGAGGTACCGAGCAGGCTTTACCCGCCTCGCGCATTCCAGGGCTATATTCCTGGCAAAGTCAGCGAGAATGTCATTGGCGAGAGGCAATGCAAAACTGTGGCAATAGCAGGCGTGATGATTTTCCCAGTGGCAAACTCGAGGGTTTTGCAATACGCCAGATCGTCTCCATCGAAAAGCGCGCCTGCGCATCACGCAGCGCTGAGACTACGGGCGCGCATGTGCCTCCTTTAGGGATGAAGCCGGGGGTCGGATCAGAATGTAGCAGAGACTCGCATGCTGCTCGCAGCTTTCGGCAACAGCTCTGAAGGAGCTGGTTGCAAAGTTTCACCCCACTCTGAATTTGGAGAAACGGCGCAAGCTTGCACTTCGGCTTTCTCCAGGCCCAAAGGATGTGAAAGGCCGCTTTCCGCGTGAAGTTCAGTAAGGACCTGGTGCACTTCGAGAGCACGCATGGTGCGACATTGCGAAGCTCGACTGGTCGAAGCTCTGCGTGCGTGGGCTGACTGAAAAACGGGTTGGATTTTGTGGACGTTGACATGTCAGATTGGAAGCGCACCTCAGGTCGCTCACGCTACCAGCATCAAGAGGGATTCGGCGCTTTGGCAGCATCTTTCCAGAGTCCAGCGAACAGCTTTGTGATATTTCCGTCAGGCACTGCCACCAGTGCTTTGTGAATGAGGGGCCATGGGTTTGTCTTTGATCAGGTTGGAGCCAACTCTGAAGAGGAGGTCCAAAATGTAAGCCTGCCGAAGTCGACTTCACCATTAGACTAGACTTGCTCCGGAATACGTGAGAAGGCAAATCACAAGAGAGACATGCTGCATGTTTTTCTTTGTCTTCATGCCAGTGTCTGTTTGGGGGTGGACTCCACTAGTCCAGTAATATGCAGCAAACAATAAGCACATGGATCAATGCGAGTTGTCAGGTGCTTGGACACGTAGAACATCGCTTGTTTTCCGCAGACCAAATAGATCAAGACGTGCGGGTGTTGTGGCCTGCCATGCTGCCACGGGAGGCTGGTGTGAAGCGAGCGTGTGGAACTTGTGCTACGATGCGACCGCATATACACATACACACATCACATTGCATTACACTACACGACACGGCACTACACTACATATCTTTACATGTAATTTACATCACGATGCACAATACATTACATTACATTGCCTCATCTTTCATTGCATCGCATCACATCACTTTTGCTAGTTATAGTTTCTAGCTGCGTAGGCAAGTTACTTTGGCCCGAAATTATTAGAGTCGGCACCCCCGCAAAAGCCCAAACGCCCCTTCAGGTCGTAGGTTCGATTGGCCCCCGGGCCCGCCCCCCCCCCCCACCCTTGCCAACGAAGCTCTCAGGCTTCCGTGTCCATGCAGGCAACAGAAAAGCCTGACAGTCTACTGTTCTCAAATCGGCTTCGGCAAGAAGTGGTCTTGTCAACAGCCTTCTTTTGGACTACTTGCAAATGCAAGTGCATGGGGTCAACTCGTAGCAAGTGATTGTAAAACTTATTCGTAGAATAAACAATGAAGTCCCGTCCCCAAACTTCGAGGTTCGCGTCGGCCTCCAACAGCCCCTGAGTCCCTGACCCTTGCTTCTGCTGCTTACCGGCTTTCGTCCACCCCCTCCTGCTCATTATATGATGCATGTATATTTTTTAAACACCTGCTCCCCCCGTGATCCGAGCTGCAATATCTAAGTTTAAAGGTAAGGTCTAGCATGTTGTCCCAATGTTTCTGCCTTTAGAGGCTCCAAACGCGCACGTTTGTGAAGTAGTTTAAGAGACCTCTCAGGGAGAAACGTTGGGACTTCTCAGCATTTGGGCACTTTGGAGTGCGTGCAGGCCAAAATGAGGCGCTTCCTACTGTTTCTGAGCGTTATGGCAACGGAGAGGTTCCAATGTCTCTGCCTGGACTTCAATCATTGGGACCTCAGCATTTTGGAGCCTTGGAAGCCTAAGGTGCTGAGAGGTCCCTGAAATCTGCCCGAACCACCAAATTCTTTCCGCAAAGTTCTGAACATGTCACTATGTCGACTCCTCTGTAAGATCCAGTTCAGAAACATCTGAGCGGCAAGCCTGCAGCTACGTGCACTGCAAAGGCTCCTTTCAATACAACATGCCCTTCTCAAAGCTCTTAGCTTTTCGACATGTCAGCTCGTCTGCTGGACTTGCCTCAACAACATCTGCTTGACAACTCAAAAACTCTTTGCACACGATCCTTTCGTCACAGAATCCTCCAGAAGGTGCAAGCAGGTTCTTTTCGTTACTGATGAACTCAGTTTTTTCAGTTGGCCTACACTGAACAGCTGCGACTTTCGAGATTGAGCTGCCAGGGTGTACTTTAAAGGCTCGCTCTGTCTCTTCGCACAACGGGCGGCGTTCGCACAACTAGCCCAGAAAGAGCTCCGCGATGCGAACGCTAAGTTTCTTAGCAAACGACGCCAGTTGCAGGAACAAATAATTTCAGGTTTCCTCCTAATGTGGTTGCATAGCGTTTATTGGTTTCTTCACGGGTCAAGTGGCAAAGGATGGGCCCAAAATGGCTCAAGGGCAAAAGGAATGGTTGAGTCCATCGTTTGTCACCCCTGCCAGTAAATTCACGATTTGTCCTACGCAAGTGAGCTTGCATTCTTTCTTCACTGTTGGAGTGGCAGGGGGCATAAATGTCTCCATGTATATATATATATATTATTATATATGCACATACATGTTTATGTCATGTTATGTTGTGTTGTGTATGGTGTGGCATTTATGTATGTATTCAATGTATATGGTGAGTGTAATAGCAATGTAGCGCAATGTAATGTAAAGTAATGTAGCGCACCGTAACGTAATGCAATGTCTTGCAATGTAATGTAATCACGTATGTAACGTATGCAATGTGAGTATATATGTATGCATGTATCTATGTATGTATGTACCTATGTATGTAATGTATGTAATGTATGCAATGTGAGTATCTAAGTATGCATGTATCTATGTATGTATGTATGTATGTATGTATCTATATATGTAGTGTATATGATGTATGTAATGTAAGGTAATGTAAGGTAATGTAACGTAGTGTATGTAATGTATGTATGTTATGTTATGTTATGTTATGTTATGTTATGTTATGTTATGTTGTTATGTTATGTGTATGTAATGTAATGTAATGTAATGTAATGTAATGTAATGTAATGTAATGTAATGTAATGTAATGTAATGTAATGTAATGTAATGTAATGTAATGTAATGTATGTATGTATGTATGTATGTATGTATGTATGTATGTAATGTAATGTAATGTAATGTAATGTAATGTAATGTAATGTAATGTAATGTAATGTAATGTAATGTAATGTAATGTAATGTATGTATGTGCATGTATGTAATGTATGTATGTATGTATGTATGTATGTATGTATGTATGTATGTATGTATGTATGTATGTATGTATGTATGTATGTATGTATGTATGTATGTATGTATGTAATGTAATGTATGTATGTAATGTATGTATGTATGTATGTGTATGTATGTATGTATGTATGTATGTATGTATGTATGTATGTATGTATGTATGTATGTATGTATGTATGTATGTATGTATGTATGTATGTATGTATGTATGTATGTATGTAAATGTATGTATGTAATGTATGTATGTATGTATGTATGTATGTATGTATGTATGTATGTATGTATGTATGTATGTAATGTATGTATGTAATGCTGTTATGTATGTATGTAATGTAATGTAATGTAATGTAATGTAATGTAATGTAATGTAATGTAATGTAATGTAATGTAATGTATGTATGTATGTAATGTAACGTAACGTATGTATGTATGTAATGTATGTAATGTAATGTAATGTAATGTATGTATGTATGTAATGTATGTATGTATGTATGTATATATTGTATGTAATGTATGTATGTATGTATGTATGTATGTATGTATGTATGTATGTATGTATGTATGTATGTATGTGTATGTATGTATGTATGTATGTATGTATGTATGTATGTATGTGTAATGTATGTATGTATGTAATGTAATGTATGTATGTAATGTAATGTATGTATGTATGTAATGTATGTATGTATGTATGTATGTATGTATGTATGTATGTATGTATGTATGTATGTATGTATGTATGTAAATGTGTATGTATGTATGTATGTATGTATGTATGTATGTATGTATGTATGTATGTATGTATGTATGTATGTATGTATGTATGTATGTATGTATGTATGTATGTATGTATGTATGTATGTATGTATGTATGTAATGTATGTATGTATGTAATGTATGTATGTATGTATGTATGTATGTATGTATGTATGTATGTATGTATGTAATGTAATGTAATGTAATGTAATGTAATGTAATGTATGTATGTATGTATGTAATGTAATGTATGTATGTATGTATGTATGTATGTAATGTAATGTAATGTATGTAATGTAATGTAATGTAATGTAATGTATGTATGTATGTATGTATGTATGTATGTATGTATGTATGTATGTATGTATGTATGTATGTATGTATGTATGTATGTATGTATGTATGTATGTATGTATGTATGTATGTATGTATGTATGTATGTATGTATGTATGTAATGTAATGTAATGTAATGTAATGTAATGTAATGTAATGTAATGTAATGTAATGTAATGTAATGTATGTATGTATGTATGTATGTATGTATGTATGTATGTATGTATGTATGTATGTATGTATGTATGTATGTATGTATGTAATGTATGTATGTATGTATGTATGTATGTATGTATGTATGTATGTATGTATGTATGTAATGTATGTATGTATGTATGTATGTATGTATGTATGTATGTATGTATGTATGTAATGTATGTATGTATGTATGTATGTATGTAATGTTATGTATGTTATGTATGTTATGTATGTTATGTATGTATGTATGTATGTATGTATGTATGTATGTATGTAATGTATGTATGTATGTATGTATGTATGTATGTATGTATGTATGTATGTATGTATGTATGTATGTATGTATGTATGTATGTATGTATGTATGTATGTATGTATGTGTATGTATGTATGAATGTATGTATGTATGTATGTATGTATGTATGTATGTATGTATGTATGTATGTATGTATGTATGTATGTATGTATGTATGTATGTATGTATGTATGTATGTATGTATGTATGTATGTATGTATGTGTATGTATGTAATGTAATGTATGTAATGTAATGTATGTATGTATGTATGTATGTATGTATGTATGTATGTATGTATGTATGTATGTATGTATGTATGTATGTATGTATGTATGTATGTATGTATGTATGTATGTATGTATGTATGTATGTATGTGTGTGTGTATGTATGTTTGTAATGTAATGTAATGTAATGTAATGTAATGTAATGTAATGTAATGTAATGTAATGTAATGTAATGTAATGTAATGTAATGTAATGTAATGTAATGTAATGTAATGTATTTTAATGTAATGTAATGTAATGTAATGTAATGTAATGTAATGTAATGTAATGTAATGTAATGTAATGTAATGTAATGTACGTATGTATGTAATGTATGTATGTATGTATGTATGTATGTATGTATGTATGTATGTATGTATGTATGTATGTATGTATGTATGTATGTATGTATGTATGTTATGTTTTTATGTATGTATGTATGTATGTATGTATGTATGTATGTATGTATGTATGTATGTATGTATGTATGTATGTATGTATGTATGTATGTATGTATGTAT